TCCTATTAAGCTAATACCTCATTAATTCTTTTATAAATCGTATAGTAATTATATTTGAATAATGTAGCAAAAGGAAACAAAACAGCAAGCATACATTTACGCAACTATGAGTGTATATGTACATATTTTATCCTAACAAGTCTACTCTAAAAATCAAATAGTAGCTGTCACACTCTTGAACAAGGAAATGCATGGCTGCCAAGATGGCGGCCATGGGCTGAAGCAGACAGAGTTTCGGTAATTAACGAAACAAAAGAAAAGGTTCTGCCTGGCTAGGGGCAGGGCGACAAAACTATTTAGTTTCTAATTTTAGCCCTAGGGGAAACAGCTTTCGGGAACAAGAGCTGACTACCCAGTCTACCAGGAAATAGAAGTTAAAAAATATCTAGAAAGAAGTAAAACTTAGAGAAAAATAATTCTGCTATGCACTTTCCATCAGGTGTATTGAGATTTACTTATAAGTTTTACTGCCATGTATGCACACTGGTCACTAATCACACGCCAATATTATAGGTATAACTGATATCCTATGTCAGAGGCGATCTTCCAGATGGGCCTTTACAGGCCTCAGCCATGTAGCTATAGATGTTGGCTCCCAACAGCATAGAGTTACAGTAACATCAAAAAGAAATTTCCTATTAGAATGATCCTATTTCTGATGTTCCTTCTCGCCTTATTTGAAGTTTTGCAACACTGAACCCACACTGGTCTCTCAACACCAGATGCTGGCCTGTGGTGGTGTGGTCCTGCATAACTCAGCAAACTCTCCAGGCCTGAGCAGAAGGTTTTCAATGTCTGGCCACTACAAGGAAACCATCTGGGCAGAAGTGATTTAGGAGAACCAGACCTGACTTCCAATGGTTTTATTGCTGGCTGACTGTGTGATTTTGGGCCAGACACTTAAATGAATCTCATGTTCCCCATCTATGAAGTAAGAGTGAAATCTACCTATCCCACCTATTTTGCAAGTATTTATGGGTGCATAAAAAGGAGTAGGTTCTGAGGAATCTAGGGCCTCAATTTCCGTATCTTTAACAGAAATGGATGGACTTGACCTGAAGCCTCTTCCAATCTGAACATAAATTCTTGTGCTCTAGCTTTATTATAAGAAGTAGTTTTCTCACTGTCTCACATTGTTAACAGGACATCAGAGAATAAATGTGATATAGGCATGTATAATCCCATTTGCAAACAGGCACGCAAAGGCCTTTCTGAATTACCTCGGTATCGGGTTGTTTCTTAGTGTATTAGATACTTATGCAACATCTGTTCTTGGTTCTGACTCAGCTACCATTGTGGCAAACAGCTCTACTCCTTATGGGCTTCAGCAAGCTTTCCATGAGCACAAACTAGCAGAGCCATGTGTCATGCAATTCTGTGCACACCCTCCTCTCCAGGGCTTCCCTGTTCACGCACACCCTGTCGAGTCACGAGAGATTGCAGGCCCCACTCAGAGCACCGCATTGTGGTAAACTTCGCTTCTCCTCCTTTCTCCCCAAGTTGTCCTGAGATGCATTAGTCCATCATGTCCCTTGAGAGCAAATAATTAGTTATGCTTGGACCAGGTGGCAGCCAATTTGGAATTCACCTCGTCTGGGCGGTCCCCTTCCCTGGGTCATGCTCTTGGGTTCCTCCACGCCTGCTGCCCTGGATTTACACCTGAAAAAGTTGTTGCACACAAACTTTGGTCTTAAGCTCTACTTTATGAGGAGCCTAGACTACAACTAGGATTGGTTTTCAATGTCCAAAACAATATGGACAAACTGAAGTTTACTCTGAATGTTGTAACTAAGAACACTATAAACTCCAATATGACTAGAAATTTGAAAAGAGCAAAAGAATATTATACACATCTTTTTAAGCTTTAACTAAGTTCTAAAAGTGTTGTATGTTGTCTAAAGCACTGAGTAATGTGTGTTGGCCTAAGATAACATAACTTCAGCAATTAAACAGCTTACACAGTTAGAGTATATATTCATATTTATATTTGCATAAAGAGTTTACTCAGATTTGCGGGGAGGGATGGTAGTGTGATCAGTGGGAATTGGCCGTATTGAAGAACAGATGGGGACAAGACTTTCCACTCAGTTCCTTTTTCAAAACATTTTAGAATCATGAATATATCACCTGTTTTAAACATTGATAACATTAAGTGGGCCATTTGCACTCAGTATGAGACAAAAATAAGTTCATGATAGAATGACTGGACTGAAATTGCTCATTTTATTATGTTCCCTGTAGATTCAGAGTCAGAATTTTAAAATGGAGAGTCTTACATTATAATGAATAAGTGCCCATAACCTGGCCCAAATTAACACTTGATTTTACATTTATTTCATAACGCTCAGACTACAAAAATAATATGTGTTCATTGTGAAAAAAATTGGAATGTACCAAAAAAGCACAAAGAAAATTAAAATCACCTGTAATTACATCACCAAGAGATTAAAAAAGCATATATAGATTTCTGGTCTTTTCTAAATAATGTATTGCACATATGTGTGATTTAGAGCCAACAGTGATTGAATTTGCTAACCCAGCCTCTTATGGAACGAGAAGCAACTACCATGTCATGATTTCCCTGCTGTGGGCATGACGTTCGGCATTTCATGAGCCTTCTCCTTCCCTCCATCCTCACCCCAACCCTGCGACTTTTATGCACCTGTGACACTTTTATAGAGAAAGAAACCGAAGATCCAAGAACCTAAATAATTATAGCATGCCCAAATGCTCACAGCTAATAAGTGGCAAGACCATATCTGTCGTAAAACCCTTGTTTGTTCTGTCACATGATGCTGCTCCTACCATCAGTTATTTAAAGCACGATACACAAAACCCTCCTGGATTACACAGTTGCATGTGTTGAATCAAATGACAAAAATGGGAAAATCACATATAACTTGCCCTTAGCAAAGCCAAAAAGAATATCTGGCTTTTCAGTGGTTGGAAAGTATGATAGTATTACTATTTCCTCATCTGCTAGAGGATCCTGTCACCACCATCATCAGAGCTGAAAGGGAAATCAGTACTGCTCTAGAAGAAATGGATGGCATTAAAAGAACTGAATGCTGAGTGGAAAATCATTTAAATACAATTTCTTTAGGCATTTATTAAACTGCACATTTCTTGGAACCTGAGTCCATTTTGCTTTTCGGTTGACGAATCTTTTCTAGAAAACATAGGATAACATTTATTATTAATAGCTAAACACTTACTATGTGCCAAGTACCATTATTTGTTGACTCCCACAACAGCTCTTTGAGGTAGACATTTTGTTGTTGTTGTTTTGAGTTGGAGTCTCACTCTATCGCCCAGACTGGAGTGCAGTGGCCGCTCCTGGCCACCACAGCCTCGACCTGCTGGACTCTGGCGATCCTTCTGCCTCAGCCTTCCAAGTAGCTGGAACTACAGGCGCACGCTACCACGCCTGGCTAATTTTTTATTTATTGCAGAGATGAGGTCTCGCCAAGTTGCCCGGGCGGGTCTCGAACCCACGGGCTCAGGCAAACCACCCACCTCAGCCTCCCAAGGCGCGGGATTACAGGCTGAGCCACCGAGCCCGGCGAGGTAGACATTTTTATGTCCTTCCTAGTTAGTAAATGAGAACACTGGCACAGGGAGGTCGTAGAATTTGCTCGAGATCATACAATGAATCAGTGGAGTTCGGGTGAGCCACACAGCCTTGCTTCAGAGCACAGACGCTTCGCTGCTTCAGCAGACTGCATCCTAGTCGTCCCTGAAACGTTTCATGAAAACGCTTCCATAGGAAAAAATAAAGTTACAGTTGAGAGGGAAACCCCAATGTTACGAGGATGATGTCATGGAAGGCAAGTATCGTCCATGTACTATTCCTGAAACAATATTGGATGAGAGGTCTGATTCACACTGGGTCTCAGCTCCGGCAGAACTGCTTCCATGACACTAATGGCAGATGTCCCCATTTCTTGCTTGAATGGTTATGACGTGGGAGTTATAACACCGCCTGATTTATTGATATATTGTTAAAGCATATTCTCTGGCAATATGGTCAGTGTTTTTGCAGAGTGGTTTTTAGCAATAACCTCAGATGGCAAAGGAGTAGCCTGTCTGTTCTCTCCTCTCAACCTAGAGATAACATTTCAAATACACTAACTGGTGGTTTCTTAATAGGTACAAGATGGCATTTTGAGCAAGACAAGTTTTAGCTGTGGAGAACAATCCTATAACCGTATGAGACAGCTAAGCGTCTCTGCCTTACCCTACCTACCCCCCCCCGCCGCGCGCACACACAC